ACCCCTGGGACGCCTTTTGTCTCATCACCAGGGATCCTTGAATTTGTACTTGCAAATTATAAGAGATGTTGGGATATGAGGGGTTATCCTTCCTCACAAAACACCGCTTCCTATTCCTCCCCCCTTCCCCCTCCTCCCCTACCCCCCCCCCCCCCCCCCCCCCCCCCCCCCCCCCCCCCACCTCCCTGCTACGCTTACACCAGGCGATTCCAGGCCATACTAAAAAGATGCAGTTTGCTTAACTAGACTAAGCTTCTGATTTCAGATGTAAGCACAGGAAGTCCATATATACTGTCTCGGCCTATGACGCGTTCCAGGCAATAAACAAAATCAATCAGCCAATCAGCTTCCAAATCACTCAAATCACTTGTCTACTCTTCATTGGTCAGTGGATAAAGCGACCGCTTGATCATGAGATCCCCACGCTTTTCACATGCTGATTCTCTCATCTTTCACATGTCCTTCTATGTTTTCTAGCATGCTCTTTTGAGATCTACAAAAACCGTTAAATATACTCGCTTGGGGCTTGCTAGCAGTTTTCATAGATCTCGAGAGTGAATTATTTTCTTAGATAACATGAACAAACAATATTTATTTGGTAGATTGATCACAGAAAGGACGTCAAAAACGGAAGTTTCACAGATTATTTTGACGTCATTTCTATGATGAAACACTCAGGAATGCGATCACTCAAAGCAAAGTTTCGAGTATTGCGTAAAAGTTTTTACTGTCACGCACGTCTTTGCATTCAAGTAATGCGTTTGCATGTTTTTACATGTGTGTACGTACGATGGTTTGGTATGCTCGAATTAGAGACTCTCTTCTACATGCTATGGGCTTAAGTCACAACGCTGATCATTTAAAAAAAAAATCATGTCTTGTGGGTTTGTTGTGATCGTTGCTTAAAGCTTGATGAATCGAAACCGTGATCAATTTCACTGACGAAAATCGTTAATCGGCTTAAATCTTTTTTAAACGAGAATGACACCTATTTAATTCACCTGTCAAAAATGCAGCGACTAAAAAATGGTCTCAGACTGATCTGTTTTGGAAGTTCAAGTCCCCGCATGCATATATAAAATACTTTAACTTGCACTCTTTAAAAATTTTCGCCCTTTTACAACGTAACTTGGCTGTTTTTTGAAGGTTGGAAGCAAATTATTACGTAAACGTAACCTAACTAACATTGCTCTTGGGTGTAAACACAAACTGTGCAAATCAGTAAGCGACAGTCTAAGGTTCCTCTCTTTGCTGCATAAGTCTGAGTTAATTAAGGTTTCAAGACTGATTACCCCACTACGATCGCTAGACTATAAACCTCTTCTACTGAAGTGGGTAATTTATCTATTTACTTATCTATCTATTTATATTATTTATTATGATTTCCTTATAACAGGGCTGAATTCAAAGCTGTGTATTTATAATAATTCACAAGTGCAGCTATTTTTGTTTTGTCTTTGTATGAAGTTTTACAATCGGGACAGTCAACTGAAGTCAACCAAGACTAAAAAAAATTTCCACGGCCCTGCGACAAGGAAAGCATCTCATAAACCCAAAATCTTACCTCGCGTGAGGAGAATCAAGTGTAGAAGTCGAATCTTTGTTAATCCCGCCGGTAGCAGGCTTCAGACGGCTCTCATCCATTGTCCCACCATGGCTACATTTTCCCATATTTTCAGGTTTCTTGATGTCTTGATCTGACCTATATCCACTAGTAAGCTTCATTGTGATCAAATTATTTTCACATTCCCCTGGTTTGCAGTCCTTGCATGTTGCTTCGTTGGGGCCTGCAATATACTCTTGCGGGATGTCGCTTCCGGGTCGGCCTAAAATGTCATACGGTACTGGATTGCCGAGTTCTATCCAGTTGGAATGGCTGTAAAAATCCTGCAGCGTGTGCAAAGCTTCACCGGCCAAATTTCTTGCATGTTGTAGTTTATCTCCTTGAAGAAGCATCGTAACAAGCTCTTGACGTAGCTGCACGAGCCGCGTAGCTCCTTGCTCAAACTGCTCGCCATCGAAGTGAGCAGAAGCCGAGGTACTAAAAGGGAAAGAATCAATTTCAGCGTTGGCGCTCTGAATTTCGTTTAAAGCATTGAGAAACTTGATCTGCGGCGATATGTTATCAATAGTAACTTGTATAGCTTCTTGAACATCAATCGATAGAAGATGATCCAAAATGTCTGCTAGTGAATCGTTTTTTAAATACTGCGGGTTCTCAACAAAAAAATAGAGAAGTGGTTTTAGAAATCCTTCCTTTGTTATCACTGCATGATCACGCATTGTCGACTTTCCGTTTCCTGAGAGAACTCGAGGCAGGAAGGCTACGGTGGTAACAGGAAAGCAGGCCGCCAATATAAAAGACGCTAAGAGGGAGAGATGTGTCATGTTTGGTCGGAGGTAAAGGGAAATTTAAGTGACCGATGTCTTTGTGAAAATGAAACCTTACCAAGCTGACCTTTAACCACAGTTCTTTGCGCGCGTTTGCTCGTTTGCACGTGACGTAACGTCAAGCTCTCCTCCTAAATAGCCTGCCCGGCTCTCGCGTTTCTCTCGCGCCGGAAACTCCCTTTCTCTTCCCCTCCAAACGCCTGCCACGCAGGCTAGGAACTAAACTCTATTTTCATGTAAAATCTTCGAGAAAAAATTCTTTTGACTATTGCTTTGACCCCCAACATGGCCGTCTTGTCACGTGGTTGTAAACCATGAATGTACTATCAGTCCTCTGATGCTCAACCGTTTCTTGAACTTGCAGCTAAATTTGATAGCTCCTAGCCTTTCAACGAATTAACAACCTCCTTACTTCTCCAATAAAAAATTTATTACGCCGACAAAAAACTGAAAGATAATAACAAAATGAAATATGAAAAATAGATAACATAAGCTCTAAATTGTGACATTTCTTTATTTTGAAAATCTCGTTATGAACCGTGTCCGGGATTGTCCGGGAGAGTTTAGTTTACAAATGAAAGTGATTTTTATAGCTTTTGACCGTAGCCATGACTACCAAAAGCTCGCGCGCGTTGAAATGCACGCAGAAATTTTTCGCGCCTATTGTGACGTCATTCGTACAAAATATTCAATTCCAACGACATTTTAAACTGAGAAATGCAATCAAGGGGAAGTTTAGACTCAGTTTATCAAACTGAAAATGTAAACAAATTTAAAGTCGTGGTTTTGGGTGACCAAGGGGTAGGAAAATCTGCCTTAGTATGGAAATTCGCTTACAGTGGATTTGAGGAGAAATATGCGCCAACGATCGGCATAGACTTCTTCACCAAGACTCTCTACCTACGTAAGTGTCGTAAGTGGTGACTAGAAGCTTATATTTCGCTACAATTCCGTTTAGATTAAACATATAAACGGAAAAAGCTGATAATTTCAGGGTTTAGCTGATTTAAGAGTCTGTTTAAATTTGTTATGATATATTTGTTATATATGATTGCAGGAACATGCTAACATAAAATTATACATTACCACAAACCTAACGACCCCCCGACCGGCACAAACGTACATGACACAACCTACGTAGACTTTTTAAAGTCTGTTTTGATTGGTTCACCATTTAACGGAACTTTCGTCTACTTCGCGCTCTTTCTCGCGGCTCTATCGCTCAAAAAAGCGACTTGTTGGCAAGTCTGCAAACTGTGAAGATAAAGTATTGAGCAGCAGTAGAGTTGTGTGTGAATGAAAATAAATCATAGAAAATCGGTCATGTTTCCCGGCCGTATAGTAACATTCAAAATACACCACTAAAGTCCAAATGCTGTTTTAGCTCTCATAAACGTGAAAGGTTTACCCTCAGTTAGTCTTCTGACAAACTAATCAATAACCAATTGAAATGAATATAACAAGGGACGTGAATTTCAGCGTCAGGACCACTACTTTCGAGAGGCGGTCATTTGCGGCTTTCATACACTGAGCATTCTTCATTAAGTGTTGTTTCCGGGGGTGTCGCTTAGTCCAAAAATTTATGGCAAACGCGAAAAATACTTTTTTTTTAAAAATATATAATATAATAAAACGAAGAATAGGTATTAGTCAGACATGCAAATTATATTTTTGACCACGTGCTAATAATTCGTAAGAGATCAAAGCATTTCAATAAAAGGTTTTGAATTTTTATCGTCTAAAAAGCAATTGTCCTTGACTTAGACAATTTTTCGCATGTACTGGGTTATTTCAAGAAGGGTCAATAAGTCGAGAATGAGTCAAATTTGACGGAGATATGAAAAAGTAAGATACACTTCTAAGAGCTAACCGTTCCTATTAGGCTTTATGAGATCAGATGACGGCGTCCGACCAGTCGGTTTTATAATGAAATGCGCTTTTTCCAAGAGGTTTTGCTGAACAACCATTTCCTTGGTGCATACTAAAATATGACTTAGGATTTGACTGATCTGGCTGGAGAGATTTGATTAAAATGGAAATTCTCATTGCGTTGGCAATGGTTCGGCCGGTCAGTTCTGACAAATGGAAAGCGCCCTTAGATACCTCTATGAAATATATTTCTTCTCCAAGGGCCTGGTTTTTTAAGCAGGACTGGAGCCGAAGAGAACGCAGGTTTGTTTAATTCTGTTAAAAAGAAACACCAGTAGCAAAGCAGGAGAGAGAAAGTAAAAGATTAGAGCCTTCTGCTGATCGAGAGACCACGTGCGGTAACTAGAGACTTAGCATGGCGGTGTTGTCGGGAGCACGACTGAGCGGCGAAGCCCCAAAAGCGCGCGCGAAGTAGCAGCGAAGCTGCAAAAGAATAAAAGTTGCTCCCGCCCCAATCTCCTCGCGATTTCTCTTCCCTCGCCCACCTTTATTATTTAGCGCGCCCAACCAAAATGCCATGCTACGCAGGCTATGAATGCCACTGTACGGTTAACTTCACATTCTCTCACCCACTCACCTATCTGGGCAAATTAAAGTCGGCCACACCCATTTTTTTTCTTCTCCTCTTCTTCCTGTGCGTACGTCGGATCTCTCCTGGCCATGGAGCGTGGGGGATGGGATTCACGGATTACACTACTCTAGCAATGTGTATCAATACAAAATCATCTCTGTTGATGCTTTGGGTGTCTCGGATTTTACGTTTCCCCTGAGATCGAAATCATTCCTTCGAAGTGAAATCTAGTTTCTTGATACCCAGCCTCCAACTAACCATTTTCAGACCTGGGTTTTTTTTTGCTTTTTTTTTAAATTCTATTGCTTGAATGCGTTGATTACTTTGAACAAGTGAACACTACAGTGGTTGAAAAAGAAAGAAGGATTTTAATTAGCAAAACTGCGATGGTCTAGTGTTGTAAACTTTCATCGTATGCAAATGGATCTTAAGATGAGCATATAGCATGCGGTTTATTTTCCGCGATGGTTGAAATGACGTGCCATGTAAATCACTTTTTTGATCTCTGGCAATGACAGAGGTAATTTCTCTGAAATCGAAGCCGTTGAAATTTTTGTGTGCTACCGCAGACGTATGTATTTCCGATCGTAACTAACACGCGTACTTAATCAATTCAGAAACAAATAAAAAGTAAATACCCCTGAAGAATACTCGACCTTCGATAAAGAAAGAAGTGAAAAACTTTTAGCGAGTAAATCCTGTTTCGTGTAGAATTAATTGCCTCCTCATATTTCTCGATGTAATCCCCCAAAAAGCGATACTTAAAGCCGCTGCAAGAGTGTTCTTGCACTGTTTAGTGTGGTCTCCGTATCATGAGTGGTTTTGAAGTTATAGAGAGATGGGGCCTCCGAAGTCCCCCTAGTCTCAGGAAGCGAAAAATGCCCGGTCTGAATAGTGTTAAGCTTCTTGGTTAGCAAAAATAATTCACCTCTTTATTTTTTTTTGTTCTTTTTATTCTATATTTTCCCATCACTCTTCCTGCCGTAAGGATCAGTTTACTGTTATAATATTAATTCTTGGTTACATTCACCCTCAAGGACGGCGGAGCTGGGGGAGCGAAAATCCCCCCCCCCCCCTCCCCCCCTTCCTTCTAAAGGAATTTTTTTTTTTTTTTTTTTTAAGGACGTTTAAAGAGGAAAAAAAAAAAAAAAAAAAAGAAAAAGAGCCGGGGTATTTTTTTACCACAAAAGAAATGGAATTAACCGTGGGTGGTGGTGGTGGGGGTGACGCAGCGAAAATCCCCCCCCCCCCCCTTGCCCCCTTACTTTCTAAAGGAATTTTTTGTTGTTTTAGTATAAGGTACGTATGAAGAGTAAAGAAGAAGAAAAGAAAAGGAAAAAGGTCCGGTTTATTTTAGTACCACCGATGAAGTTGGATTACCCGTCGTGTGTGCTGGAGACTGGCACGAGAGAATCGCTCAGGGCATGCGTGTGTTGTTTTTGGTGTTCTCAGATCGTACATACACACGAACAGCTTTTATAAAAACGCAGGCCAGTTTACTACGGGCGGGATATATACAAGGCTGGAAATACCAATTCCGAGCCTCTAGACTTTAAAATGTTTAAGAGAGGTTGCCCCCAGACCCCCCGCTACAAACTGGAGCTCATTTTCAAGTTCCCCATTTGAAAATACGCTCCCCCGTCCCTGATCGATCCTTTAGCAGTCCATGTAGAAGGATTATCGGAGGCTAATTGTCTTGACTACGATAGCTTGATTTGGAGAGGACATGAGGATAAGATGAAAAAGGAAATGGCGCGATTATCTAAACTGAGATAAGATTTTAAATCACAGCCAGCATGATCTTGATTTAACTAAACAGACAGAAATTTAACGGCAATACAGCATTGCTAATTCCAGTGGCGGATCCAGGGGTGCCCCCCCCCCCCTATTTTAGACCAAACTGATGCCCGAAGGGCCGAAAAAAAAATTTTGGAGACCGGGCTCCCCCCCTTATCTCAAAGTCTGGATGACCGGATCCCCATCCTTCCCCCCTAATCTCAAGGTCTGGATCCGGCACCAAATTCCCCTCTCGTTTTTTTTCTGCTAAATTTCAGATGGAATCGGCGTTCGCCTTCAAATATGGGATACAGCGGGTCAAGAACGTTTTCGCTGCCTTATTCCTTCGTACCTCCGTGACTGTCACGTGATCTTGGTTTGTTTCGACGTGACGAATTGTTCGAGTCTGGACAATGTACCAGACTGGATTGAATTAGCTCAAAGAGAAAGGTATTGGCGAATGAAAAAACCTTTGATTGTTCTTGTGGGAAACAAAGTGGATGAAACCAGTAGAAGACAGGTGAGCGAACCGGCTAGGAGAGGCCGAGGAGTACTCTCAAAAGTTTCAGCAGGTGTGCCACCCATGGTCTTGATCCTTGACCCTGTTTAAAGATGAGACGAACAAAAACTGATGCCCTTTTTAAGTCCGAAAACTATAAAATGAGACCCAATTCAATGGAAAACAAATTAATAAGTTAATGGAAACACTTAAAACTTCTTTAATTCACTGTCCTAATACTCTAAGGTAAAATGTTCACCAGTCTTAGCAGATGATTTGTTTCTCGTGTAGCGGCGCACTTGAATTTTAGCTGGTAGAATCTAAGGATCACATCGGGAGCGCAGCAAAAACAAGGCAAAAATGATACGCTATATATACTATTTAACGATGGAGACCCTTAATAGGGTGACACATACCAATATATATATCTAGCCCATATATGGAAGCCTTGAATAGTGAGTAAACAATGGGGGTGTAAACTCTACTTGTGTTGTGCTGAAATTTTTTTTTTAAAAATCCAGTTCAGGAGTCTAGTTCTATCATATCATCATTCAGTATGAAAAAATCAAATTAATAAGCCGTCATTAAAATGGTCTCTTTCTTTTTTTTTTTTTCTTGCTTTTTTTTCTAAAGAGGGTACAGGGTCAGTGTTTGAGGGTTTGAAGGCCTCAGCGCTAGGCTGCCCTTTTCCAGACTCCCCCCCCCCTTCTCCCCCTTCCCCCCTCTGAGAGACCGCGCCACTCAAACTGCTCTGCACAGACTGCTGCCATCCCAATACATCTGTCAGGTTTCCTTGACTCCTTTTCCAGTTCGATCTCCTTTTTTAAATCTTTAACTAAATCTGATTCTTAGCACCACGGTGGATCTAGAGAAGGAAGAAATTTTTCAAACCCTACTACCTGCTTGTTCGTTTATATTTATACTCCAACTCAAACAACAAAATAATTCTCTTTTGCAATGGTTTTTGTTTTAGATATCTTATGAATGCGCCAACACAGTGGCTGATCTCTTTCAAATTCCGTACGTTGAGACGAGCGCTTTATCAGGATTTAACGTGGACTTATTGTTTAGGAAAGTAGCAAAAGACGTATTTGTAGAATACCTGGATGGACTTAGAAGTAACGGCGATTGCGGGGTTAGCAAGGAAGACAAAATAAATAACGGAATTTTGACACTCAAAAAGGAGCAAAAACGGACACCTAATAAGCGATACATTTGCAAATGCGGATGAAGGTGTATAATTTTGAATATAACGAACGAAAAATTACAATGGTGACCAGTTTGCAAAACTTATTATCATTATTTTTTCTCGTACACACGGAATTTTTTAAGAGTAATAAAAATGTCATTTTTTTGGACGTGTAAAGTTTTTCAGATAGTGGATGTTTAAATTTTTTTCAGATAGTCAAACAATTCTAAAATATCTAACTATGGTAAAGTCTACCCTGCGAGCAGAGGCTACATTTTCACGGTGTGAGATGGCGTGCGAAAAGTAGCTCCTTTTCGCACGCTAGTTCACAATTCTGCTCACACCACAGGTAACCCAGGCTCTGTGATAGTACCACAGTACGGTTCCAGTAAAATTACAGTGTTTATATGGGGTAAAAATATCATCCTAAAATGTCTAGGAAATACTAAATAAAGATCAATAAAACTTACTCTGCAGTTAATTGTTGTTGTCCTTAATGCTCCAACGAAGTTTCGTGATAATTTGCAGTAATTTGTTTAAATTCACTCTATCTACAATAATAATATACAAGGTAGGAAACACGAGGTGCCATTTTCGCCGACATGCTCTCATTCAACACAACTTTTTCCACGAAATTCGAACTCCAACGGAAAATAAACATGCCAGGATCGTAGAAATAGGATAGCAGCAGATATAGAAACCAATGAAGCTTTCCCAGATAGAGAAACGAATCCCACAGACTTTGACAAAGTCGAAGAATATAATCCAAACAGACCGAGAATACGCTCGCCGAAGCAGCCGGGCCAGATCAACACGCGGCCAAGAAAATGAGGCCTGGGCACTGTACAAAAAAATTCCATCCCAGGGGACCTGGGTTGACCTTTCTAGGGACCGATACATTATTTGCCCAAAGCCACCCTCCCCTGCTGGAAAAATACTTGATAGAAGGCAATTGTTCTTCCTAGCCGTACCACCCTGGCCTGTTATAAAGAGATTATGTCCCTCTCGAACTATATTCAGCGCCTGGCGCTGGTCCTCAGAAAGTTTATCAAACATCAATAGGGCAAGGTTATAAGGGCAACGGAAAGAACAACGAAGGAGGATTTACAAAACTTAAAACGAGCAAAAGATATAAGTGAATTATGGCTCTTACCGAGGCATTTGTACAACAGGACCAAATTCAAAGAGAGGTGTATCACGATGATTCACATATTTAACCGATAGAGCGTTCACTTGTATTGACAAGAAGTCGGCGTGTTACTGCTGCATTAATCGCTAAATATGTTAATCGCGCTAGTTCTTTGTTGAAAATGGCACCTCGTGTTTCCTACCTTGTATATTATTATTGTAGATAGAGTGAATTTAAACAAATTACTGCAAATTATCACGAAACTTCGTTGGAGCAATAAGGACAACAACAATTAACTGCAGAGTAAGTTTTATTGATCTTTATTTAGTATTTCCGAGACATTTTAGGATGATATTTTTACCCCATATAAACACTGTAATTTTACTGGAACCGTACTGTGGTACTATCACAGAGCCTGGGTTACCTGTGCTCACACCTCGAAATATAATTGGATTGGACGGACATAGGAAGTGGCCTCGTTTTGAGAATTAAGCCCGCGCTCCTTGCAACCTTGATCTCGTGACGCCTGACACAAAACAAACATTTGGGATCACCGGCGATCTCTTACAGCTGGGTTTTTAATAGTTGTTCATAAGACATTTTTTACACAGACTAGTCATGGACAAATCCGTGTGTGATGATCAGACAACTCCTGAATCTAAAAATGAAGAGACTAAGAAAGAGTCAGGCCTAAAAAAGCGATTATGTGACGCCGGAATTGTTCCTCCAAGTGGATTTTTCAGTCAGGTTGCAACACGCGGACTTGTTGTTATCTTGATCTGGGCTGTTCTCTGGTCTATTATTGGCCAAGATGCTTTACCAGGAGGAAACATATTCGGTATATTCATTGTAATCGTTTCTGCAAGTCTTTTGGGTTTTCTAGTGGGTAGAATTCCGTATCTGCACCTTCCCCCTCTGTTGGGCATGCTTGTAGCTGGATTCGTACTACGAAATGTTCGTGGAATCGACTTAGCCCGTCATATTGACAAACGTTGGTCTTCAACCTTACGAAGCATGGCCTTGGTTGTTATTCTTATTCGCTCGGGACTTGGATTAAACACATCAGCATTGAGAAAACTGAAGTTTACTCTTGTTCGATTAGCATTCCTTCCTTGTGTTTTAGAAGCAGTTATTGCAGCAATTCTTGTGCACCTACTATTAGAGATGAAGTGGCTTTGGGCATTTCAGCTTGGGTAAGTTGCCACTTAGTTACCATCAGTTAACCTTAGTAAAAACCGTAAATCACCACAAATATACTCAAAAACTGTTTACCATACATTTGTTCAACAATCTCAATATTTTTTTCCTTCATCTTGTAACCTTTATGCTTAATAAAGTGCTCACACGAAAAGAAAAATAGTAATAATTATGCTGATCACTCCTAGGTATGGTGGCCCAGAAGGGTCACACATACAAATTAAAAATGTTGCTGCAAGCTAAAAATAGTACATGCAAATTAAAAGTTGTACATGCAAATTAAATATAGTACATGCAAACTAAAAATTGTGCTGCAAGTTGAAAATAGAAAACATATCGATGCAAATTAAAAATTAAAAGTCGTGCGCGCGCAGTATGAGTGACGAGGACCTGGTCCGAGCCGTGCGACCTGGCCTTACAGCCGTCGGCCCATTCATGTTTGTAATATTTTTAGTTTGCATGTACAATTTTTAGTTTGCATGTCCTATTTTTAATTTGCAGCAACATTTTTAATTTGCAGGTAAAAGTTTTAGTTTGCAGGAACATTTTTAATTTGCATGTGTGACCCTTCTGGGCCACCGTACCTAGGGGTTACTAGCCTGCGAATACAGCCATTTCTCCTTTCTCCTTGCCATTAAGGTCGTTTTGCCAGGAGGAACATCTGCAACTCAGCGACAAAAATTTCATACTGATGACATAAAATCTGTCCGGAATCTGGTTATATTGTTTTACGTATTGTTTAAAAATGACAGAAAAAAAGACAAAAGGCAACAAAGGCCCAATGTAAACGTAGTGAACCTGCTACAAAACAGTCAATATTCTTAGAATATATTCTCCTTTAGAAAAAGCATCTGAGTTTTGCTGTACGTGTAGCTCGTTCGCAGAAGAGCACAAAATATTACCATAATCATTCATCCAGGAGAAACATAAAATCAAAGAAATTTACATTTGGAACCCCATGACTGGCCCATGAAAGGCTGTATTCGCAGGCTAAGGGATTTCAGGATTAGGAAAATATGTATACTTATTATACCACATGATTACTCCCACCTCCTCCCTCCACGCTTTCTTTTTTACTACAATTATATTAAAGACGTGTCTAACACCAAAGTTCACATCTGCCGAACCCTACACAGTATGCTTATGAGTTAGAACAATAGATTTTTGCTTTAGCGTTGGGTTTGGCACTTGGGAACTTCAATGCTAACGTAGGCCTTAAAAACCAAAGTTCAATGATAGCCATACCCTCTACGGGGCTCACATATCACCCCCCTTATAGGCCCTTAAATTTCAGAATAACAGATCATGCTTTAAAATTCATTTAAAATTATCAATGAAGTTAGCAATGGAAACTTTAAATTCTGTTATTTATGTAATGATCATTCAATCCAGATTTCCAATTGCTTAATATGGGTATGAATAATGTTACCAGCAGAAAGATTGACACACTACCTTGATGCCTTGATTTTATACAGAATTTGGATTCCTTGAAAAACAGGAATTGCGTCCAATGTTTGAAAGTAAAAGTTATTCTATTATTGGTCTTAAAAGGGATGAACTCCTACTCAGTCAGTCTGGATTTTTTTTTTCACCTCCAGAATGATGGTGGCCTCATTATTGTCATTTGAAATTTTTGTACATAACTAAATTCATGTAAGAAAGGATCATTGTCCGCAGGGAACTGCTAGAAGTGAAAGATCAGCATTTAGAGGAAAATTTATTTATGTTAAATAACATCACTATTAATTTTAAAAAATATTTGATTATATATAATGGTTTAGATTTGTCCAAGCTGCTGTTTCCCTTGCTGTTGTAATACCTTGTTTGCTGGACCTTCAAGGGCAACATTATGGAGTCAAAAAGGGAATACCGACACTTGTTATGGCAGCTGCTTCATTTGATAATGTTCTTTGTATTAGTGCCTTTGGAGTGTGCCTGGGAATAGCATTTGATTCAGGTAAAACAAAGTTGGAGTACAGTAAAGAGTTCATGCTTGCTTAACCCATCCAGATTATGCAGTAGTCTCCCATTTATATGGCACCAATCTTTGGTTGTCTCAAACGGGTCACCAGATCTCCCAGATTAGGTTGACTTAAATTTGAACTTTTTTCTGGTTTAATAATTTGGAAATAAGCCCATGTTGTCCAAAATTTGATTTTTTTATTTAGTGTTTGGTTTTAAGGCATGTATTTCATCACTAACAAAGATTTAAGGCACACCAATGTTTTGGATTAGGTCTATTTGTGTATGTATTGAGGGAAAGGGGGAGAGTGGGGGGTTCTGCCATTAATATTTGTGAGGCGTAAATGCAAAAGAGAGTCAGAGTCTCAAGATTTTTTATCTCCAGAAGTTAGCATCTCTGCATTGAATGTTTTTTACTTGAGTCTAGATCATGTGCTAGGTAAATAACATTGATATAATAAAAAAAAATTAACTGAACGGATACTTAACAAAAGAGAGTCTATTTCTTGAACAAATAATGCAGTTCTGAGGGTTTTAAAGTTGTGTCTCATTTTAGGTAACTTGATATTCAGCATATTTCGAGGACCAATTGAGCTGGCACTTGGTATCACTGTTGGGTCTATCGCCGGTGTGATGTGTTGGTTTTTCCCCAATAAAAACCAGGTAATTAATTTTAGTCTCTATACCCATTCAAGAGGAGAATAAAAAGACAGGAGGGAATCTTAGGGTGTTGTCTGGGATATACAAATTTTATAAAAGTCATTTTTAGTGGAGCAACATGGGTAAGAAAATTTTGTTATCTATGCATCCAAGAAATTTTGTTTCTGATAAAATCGTACGTCCACCCCTTCATGTAAACCGGGTTGAAATTTCACATTTCAAGCACCTGCACGTTTGGGCGATTTTTGCAATTTATGTCATTAAGGGTGTAAACAGCCATAGCTGATGTCAAGAAAAGAAATTGCTAAAGACTTTCTTTATGATACTATTTTTATAACATACATGTAGCCAGAATAGTCAGCTCATTAAATTCAATGGCGTGAGTGCACATGTTCCATTGTGCACTCTCACCCACAAGAGCCACAAAAACAAGATGAACCACGGACACCAGAAGAGGCATAACAAACATGAAAACTAACCATGGGAACCGCAAGAACCAGAAGAACCATGGAAACCACGAGAACTTAACAACAGGAATAAAAAGAATTACAAAACCCACATGAACCAGAAAAATCACGAGAATCAGTAAATCAGTATACTCAACTAGTCCGTCATCAAAAATCCTGCCCTTTTGATCACCAAAAGTGCTCTGGTGTTTAAGACTGAAAGCCTTCTTCATCAGCCAATTATTATGAAGCACTTTTGTCTTCTGCATTATTCTAATGGATTATCTGATTTTTACGACTGTATGTTTTTTTCACTTTGTCCTTAGGCTAATGTATCACACAACAGATTTGTGATTTTACTGTCGTTTTCATTACTCTCAGTATTTGGTAGCAATGTGGCCAAGTTTTCTGGTGCTGGGGCTTTAGGAGTGCTTACCATGTCAACTGTAGCAGCATATGGCTGGTCACCAAGTGGGAAGGTACACACTGTAATTGTCTTGTTTTTCTCATTGATTTCTTTCAATCTCATAGTCAAGGTGGGTTTCGGTGTTCATGTAAGTGGAAGTGGAAGTGTAAATACCGTATTTCATCAAATAAAAGCCGGGGGCGATTATTTGAGGAGGCAATTATTTTAACATTACTCACTAGCGGTCGTGCCCTTAATGTTTTCTTTTTTTTTTCCATTAAATCAAAATATGATCACATCAAATGAATTGAACATGGATTTGTTTAGTGCTCCAAATTTGGTTCCTTGATTAATTTTCAATGTCAATATCCTCAGCATCAGAGCTTGAATCATCACAGATGAGTTTTGCAGTATCAGACTCCACTTCAACTTGACAGGGAGGGGATAAAAGAAAGAGAAGATGGCAAAAAGGGTTAGGGGGCGGTTGTTCGAAGGAGGCGATTATTTTAAATATTTCTGTCAAAGGGGGGAGGGGGGTGATTATTCTAGGGAGGTGATTAATCAAGGGGCGACCATTATTCGAGGAAATACAGTATAATAATATTGCTTTATTAAGTTTTACACGTTCATATTTTTCCTGGGCCTAATGTCTCGCCTAATGTGGTCAACAACATGCTTAACCTACCCCACCAATGACCCCCCTGGTCCGGTTTACCTTGAAGCCCTCCAGGTTAAGTTGCTTTCTAAGCTTTGTTACTTGACCATAGGCTTTTAAGTTTGTTAACACTCAATGATAACATTACAAATAAAAAAGAATAAAAGAACCGGTCATAAACACTGAGACACTTTCCTTCCTGAAAACCCTGTCATTAGAATATTGTATTCTCATGGCCCCACACTGGCGGTCACAGTCGGGTTCTACATTTTGCTACCGCTATGCTGACTCGATCCATAAAATCAAAAAATATATGCAAGATATGAGGACTTGCTTGGTCGCATTACTTTTATTACAGTTGAATCGATATAACAGTTTGTAGCTTTCTTTTAAAAGGGAACAAATTTTGTACCCTTTTTTTTAATTTCTAAAGGCAAGAAATTCCAGAGAATACAGCTACACGTTTTGCANTTTTTTTTTTTTTTTTTTTTTTTTTTTTTTTTTTTTTTTTTTTTTTGGGGGGGGGGGGGGACGGATTAAGGTGGTGTATAGAAAGAGATTCAACAAATGACGAAAGAATTTCCGTTAAGCTGCGTAGCACTTTGAAAAAATAGAAGTAACAAAAATGTTCATTAAAAAGAATAAATAAATCATGAACAAAAAGTGCCGTGTTTAGGTTGAAGTTATCCTTTCCAAACGTTTCGAGCCTGTCCCTTCATCAGTAGAATTACCAGTCCGTTGAATCCGTTGCAAGGTTTATGTACGCCATAAATTAGAGATAAAAATTAAAGGCTTTGTGGTGCACGCGCGGCTCTACGCGCGGCCTAGAGGAAACGGAAGTCGGAGTTTAAACCGCGCGGCTGACTGGTGCCAAGTTGAAATATCAGTCGCATTTCCAGGCGCTTTCGTTGCGCGTTGAAAGAGATTCTAGAATTATATGTGAACTGTCGAGCCGGAGCACTTTGCGCCACGAAAAGATTCAATCACGTGCTTAAAAATTGTTGCTTCCGGGCCGACATCAATTCTACGGAGTCTCCAAGGAGACAGGCGCTCGAAACTCAACTTCCGTTGTCTACTCACTCTTGATAATTTTGTTTTCTTTTTCCTTAAGGTATGGGCATTGCAAGTTTAGTCATTAGTTTGACCATTCGACTCATCGCCACCTATCTTGGTTTACTCGGAAATGACCTCAACTTGAAAGAGAGACTCTTTATTGCCATAGCGTGGCTACCAAAAGCTACTGTGCAGGTATTATATTACGAATAATAAAGTTAGTAACGTGTACTTGCTCGGGAAATGCGTCATATTGCGACTTAATTCTTCGACAACCACAATTTATCAAATATTTTAGTTAGTAGCAAAACGGTTTTGTTTTTTTGCTATGCTTTATGTTGTTGTTGTTTTTCTTTGCTTGTTTTTGAGGGATTATTTAACAACTTCGTTTTCATAGTGAGGCTGCATGTAAATCTTGTAATTCCACACACAAACGTAAGAGAGTGAGTCCCCTTAGTTTATTTATTGTAACAACAGGACGGGATGCACAATGGTTCTTTTTGCAATAAAATTGAAATTTGGTGCAAAATTTGCACGTCATTTTTTCCAGCAATGCAAAAATTTCAAGATCTGAAGAAAGGTGATGATTATTACACTGGAAAATAATTTCAAGGCAATTGCATTAACAAGATATTTAAATTTTAGTTTCCCACAATTTTATCGCTGAAAATGTCTTTAGAGGGTGTTATCCCTTGGAAGTCAACGATCCCTGAACAATAGGCTGCTGCGAAAGATAAGGAAGGCGATTTTTCTTCCGCCGTTGATATCCCTGCACCCTACATCAAGGTTCCATGGTCTGAGTAACCAGGCTGGCACCGTATGGTTTTCTCGGCGATCCTCAAGACCCGCTATCAAAACGAGGCTCTTCAATAATTTCTCTTTGTAGAGGAAAAACGCTAACTACTTGTGGTTGCAATTTCTAGTAAAAGCAGCTTTTTAAGCAAGAATATGTAGGTCGCTAATTACTTTTACGCGATCTTCCTCTTTATTGTCTATTTTGCCGTGAGATTTTAAGCCGTTGTAAGCAATTTATTTCACGTTGGTTGAAAAAACCCATGCGCAAGCTGGCAGCATTAATTCAGTTTTTGCCCAACATTTGCCCAATATTCCTTTGATCATGTGCGATCATTCATACAACCAAATTCCTCCAACATTTGTTGCACTTTTGATAGAAATTAGAGACCTTGAGGCAGGAGGACAACGGCTACTACGAGGACGAGATAATGTACTCTTAGTGACCAATTGTTGTTTTGTTTTGTTACATTACAGGCCGCCATTGGCTCTGTATCACTGGACCTTGCACGTCAAAAGGGTTTTACGGGGCAAATAGAAGAAGACTTTGGAATACAGGTGAACTTTACAGCAGCACTATTTAGTAACTAAGTTTGCAGTTTAACAAACCTCGTAGGGTACACGCAGTTTTCAGTTGAGATTTATTCCTTTGGTATTTAATTGTTACGTTCTTCGATGGAATTTTATCAGACCAAATAATCCTCTAGCCTTTGTGCATTCTCGGAGACCCAGGGGCAGTCAGTCGGGTAGGGAGAAAAGGCGGGACGAAAGTTTTCAAGTAAGGGCGTAAGAGCCCCTGGGTACCGACTCTTATCGAATTATTTCCAAAAATTCAAGCGGATGCCGGCTCCTGATTGGACACAAAAAATGCTTTGTATTATTGTACCCATTCGGCGAACAGTTTCTCCTGAGTTCTTTTCGTGAGTTCGTACACGACCACTATTGTCTCGCCACACTTGCCCGGTTCGTTCACCAAGCTTGTGTTTGCAAGGGAAACTTTTATTTTCTACTTTCCTAACCGGAAACAAAGGAACTACCGATGAGTCGAAAAAACGTTTGGGATGCTATCCGCAGGAGCAATTGAATTTACCCCGAGAATATTCTGTTTCTGACTGACCACAATGTATCCTAAATAATAGGAAGTTTAAGTTGGGGCGGCGACGATAAAGTCAAATAAGCAGTTAAGCTTGACAAGGCAAAACAACAAGTTTGCACGTGCATCACGCGTTTTTGTACATTTCTTTGCCGTCAACTGTACGACTACCTGTGAAAATGCCTAATTTCACGTTTTGCGGAGGACGTAAACAAGCAATGACAAAATTCATTTTCCTCATGAACTTGGATATGGTTGATAGAAATTCAGCTCCAGAAGATTTCGCTTGCATTTGACAAAGTAAGCTAGTTGGAATAATCACGATAGAGACTGAAAAAAAAAGAAATCAACTTTTTTATGCGACGTTTTCGTGGCTGTCAGCCGTCTTGGTATCTTTTAGAAACTCTCTATAACTATTTACGCAAGCCGTGGCCGATGCAAGCGTGAATACCTGTTGTAAGCTGAAGCTTGTATTTTTGGAAAAGCGTCTTTAGTTTTCGGGCAGACAGTATTTTGAAATCAGATGGGAATTTTATATCAGACTGAAAGTTTCCTGATTGCGTGCATTTCTTTGGTGCATGAGCCAGACAAGCCGTGATCGAGACAATAGCCGTCGTTTACGAACACACGAAAAGAACTCAGGAGATGTGTGTTCGCCGATTGGGCACAATAATACAAAGCATTTTTTGTGCCCAATCAGGAGCCGGCATCCGCTTGAATTTTTGGAAATGGTCCGGTGAGAGTCGGTACCCAGGGGCTCTTTCGCCCGTACTTGAAAACTTTCGTCTCGCCTTTTCTCCCGACCCGACTGACTGCCCCTGGGTCTCCGAGGATGTATTTATCTGTGATTCTCACCAATTATTAATTAATTCCGCTTGGCAGTGGCCGACTTAGTAGTAGTAGTAGTAATATTATTTGTAAATGGTTCATTGTTTTATAATAGATCTTGACTATCGCCGTCCTTTCGATACTCATTACTTCACCCATTGGAGCTATAGGAATCGTCTTAGCAGGTCCCAGAATGCTTCATCGCAGCCATCCTGAAGAAGTTGATATGAATCCGCTCACGGACGCTCCAGAACCTGCCACGAACAGAAAAGATCAGAAAAAAGTGATAGAAAGTAGTGTCTGATACCTACTACTATAGCGGCATTAACAGTCGGTCACCATTCAATGTCCGGACTTAAATTTGCCTTTTTTTGACGAAATATCCTGCCTGCGGCGAGACATGATAACCGGAAAGATCAAATTCAAAATTATATTACCTTCAAGCAGAAGCCGTACAAGTGAGTACTCAATGAAGTGAACTTCAACATAATGTGTGACGGACAACATTTGTGGTCTGAATGACTGAAATGGTGTCCTGATCATACTGATTTCCAACCGTGGACGTAGCCGAATGTTATGGAAAAGTACCGTACTCGGGTGCCGCTCCTGAGCACCAAGAATGAAGCCAAACAAAACGTGACTGTGTTCAAACCTGGTGCCTGCGCACGATGCTCGGGGACAGTAATGTGAACACTCCCTTTTTACAGGCATCCACGCCGGTATTACCTTTTTGTATTCGAAAACTAAAGTGGACCCGGATGCTTCCGAGGCAATAGCTGTTTTGTTACCCAAAACTCTCAACTACGCTCACCGTTTTAAAATGGCGTCTGATAAGGCGAGTCCGTAGTTACGTGTAAGCTACCTTAAGTGTGAACATAAAACCATTCTGTGGCAGTTTCTTGTCACGATTACTCGGGCACCGCGTGTGAACATAGAGCTTCTTATTCGAATAAGTGTTTAGAAATAATCAATAAGAAAACTCTGAGTTCAAGAGCTTTAATAACGGCGACGGCAACGAGAATGGCAAAAAAGCAATAGGTTTGATTAGCAAAACAACGACCTTGCAAGTGCATCACTCTTTTTTGTACATGTTGTTGTTGTCACTGCATGAGTGCGGCGTGAAAATGCCAATTTCACATTTTAAGGTGGTGTTACACCATCCTCGGAGACCCAGGGGCAGATAGTGGGGGCGAGGGAAAGTCTAAACGGGCGGGAAAATATGGCACGAAGAAAAGTAAAGAACGGCGAGAAGAGCCCCTGGGGACAATGTCTTACCAGACCAGTTCCAAACGGTCGACGCCATTCTGGCTACTGATTGGGCAGAAAAACACAAAAGTTTTCTGGCACCAATCAGCAGCCAGAACGGCTGTGACCATTTGGAACTGGTCTGGTAAGACATTGTCCCCAGGGGCTCTTCTCGCCGTTCTTTACTTTTCTTCGTGCCATATTTTTGCGCCCGTTTAGACTTTCCTCGCCCCCACTATCTGCCCCTGGGTCTTCGAGGATGGTGTTACACTGGACGATTCGCAGCGACGATTTTTAGTGCAACACAGCGTTGCAATGTTGAAACAGTGTTGTAACTATTCGAAAGAACGTCGTATCAATGTTGCAACGCTTTTTTACGCTAAAAATCGTCGTTGCGAATCGTCTCGTTATGGAGAATGTAAACAAGCAGCGACGAATTTTTCTTTCTCTTCTAAACTTGAGTCCAGTCCACAAGAAATCAACTCCAGGGAAATACGCCATTATTTCACATTTTCAGCAAATTGGAATAGACGCGACAAAGTTTGAATAAACGCGAATTTATTTTAAAAGTGACGTTTTCGCTGCCGTCGCCGTAGTCGATGCTAAAGCTCTCTAACACCTACTCCAAGAGAACGGTAAGTATCTCACTAGAGGGTCAGTGGAGAAAATTTTTAATATCCAAGTTCCTTGGATTCAGTTGCATTAAATCACCTAGGATCTATGCTGCTGTACACTTTGAAATAACGAACATTTACATTACCATACAATACATCAGTTTATTCACATCTCTAATGACAAAACAAGCTGGTATAAATTAAAATATATTTTGTTGTAAGATTGCTAAATAAGTTAAGCACCTATGGAAACAAAAAATAAGTTACTAATAAGGAAATGCCTAGTGTCGAAAATAACAGTATTTAAGGTTTTCGAGCTAGCCACTAGTCCGAGTTAAAATCTCCTGCTAAGTGTAAACAACGGTATACAAACAAGATTACGAAGAAAGCAAAATACATTTAAGAAAGAAGAAAAAAATATCTTCCTTATTCTAAAGCAAAATATAAGGCCGGTAATTAAGGCGACCCTAATTTATGTGTAAAGAGTACAAGAAATTGTTATAACTGAAGATTTTGTTTTAGTTTCCGAGGAAAGAAAAAGTTTATTTGTTTTTTTAATGAAGCCGCTGGATACATTAAAAATGCCAACTCGTGCCAATGCTCAGCTGCCATTAAGGATATAGTTTGTACCAAGATTGGTCCTACATGTATGAGGCTTATACAACAACAACCTTTATTGCTACATCCAATAGAAAATTTTCCCGCCCCCCGCCCGCCCAGAATTTTACATGTTTTGATGGCTAGTGAAAAGAAAAGGAGAAATTGTTATATAAAATTATGCATTATGAGAACAAAGATGTCTAGAAGCCAAATGAACATACGTTTTTTTTTTTTGGTGCTAGCGCTATAAAATGATATTTTTTATACAGTGGTGACAGATAAAATAGCAAAAAACACAACAAAACAAAATGAGCAAGTAAAAAACACATATACATTATACACCTATTTCGATAAAGGTTGCTTACGGAATCGTGCTTTGGTCTTTGAAAGCCATTATTTGGTGGTCACTCAAGCAAAGCGTTGCATTGTATTCTGCGTTTCAATGACCAAAAGCAACCTTTATTGAACTAGGTGTACACTATGATGGAGATTGGAAAGAACGATTATGGTCAACTTTCAAATTGTCTAATCAGTAGATGTTTTTAGATGTAGATGTTATAGATGTGAGTTATAAATTAAGAAAATTAAAATATTTCAGTCTGCATTTACGAAAACAACTAGTAAAAAAGCTATGGAAGAGACATCCTATGTTATAACTGAGACGGGTAGGCGAACATGTTTATGCATTTATATTAATGAGGACTATGACTTCTTACATTTGGTAAGAACATCATCGTTCTACCTGGTAGCCTAGCTGTTTCGCGGGGCTAAGAGGCGGTCTTCCGATGATATACGGTACTGACTCGGAAGGAAAGACTAGGGACCTTACGCATTTTGGCGGACACCTGAGTTTGTGTCTGTTGAACTGTTTAAGGTCAAAAAATACCCCCAAACAAGGAAAGTATTGAACATTCTTTAAAGTAACAACTAAGCCTAAGGTCTTAAAAAACTTGAAAAGGTCATGGAAAAAGTCATGGAATTTGAAGAGCTCAGAAGAGTACGAACCTTGCGATTGGCACTTTGGGGCTGAAACAGATCTTTTTGTAGTCTCCACAGCTTCCTGTGTGCCCTTAATCATGGCCAAGACATTCGGGCATTTCGATCAACCAAAAATAGGATAATGATGTCTATTGTTCTGAGTCTTTCTCTTTCACTTTCGAGACAATAAGCTGAGCTTGCATTATTGCTCGGTGATCCGTTTACGTATTTTTACAACTTCCTTACATCCAAGTGCAGGCAAATGCGCCCCTAGAGACAAGCATGAAAACGCTTTTTCTTTTGTCGTCTTTGATTTTACTGGCTTACCCCCTTGTTCGCGTCAAAGCTTTTCTACCTCGAATAAGCCCAGGAGGAGGGGAATCGACATCATTTGATCATGCATTGATAACGAAGCGCGGCTTTTTGAAGCCGCTCATTTACTTTTTTCGAGATAATCCGCAGTATTTGAAGGAACAGCATCTGACAAGCTTTCTGCTGGATATTCTATCGTCTGATTCACCAGATGCCTTGGAAGAAACCGTTGATAACATAACCCCACAGATCAAGTTCCTGAATGCTTTGAGCACCATTCTGAGCGCCAACGCTGAGGTTGATTCATTTCCTCTAAGTCGCTCGGCTTCTGCACATTTTGACGGGGAGCAGTTTAGGCAAGGAAATGCGCGGCTTATCCAGTTGCGTCAAGAACTTATAACATCGCTTCTACAAGGAGACAAACTACAACATGCAAGAAATCTGGCCGGCACTGCCTTGCACACTCTGCAAGATTTTTACAGTCATTCTAACTGGATAGAACTCGGCAACTCAGGACCGTACGGAGTATTAGGCAGACCCGGAAGTGAAATCCCACTAGAGTACATTGTAGGCCAGACAGAAGCAACATGCGAGAACTGCGAACCAGGAAATTGTGAATCGAATTTGATCACATTGAAGCTCACGAGCGGATATCGGTCAGGACAAGACGTCAAGAAGCCAGAGAATATGGGAAAATGTAGCCATGGTGGGACATTAGATGAGAGCCGTCTAAAGCCAGCAAGAGGCGGAATAAACAAAAATACTGCTACTACTGTTGAGTCACCCCACGCAAGGTAAGAGCTTTGAGAAGTTTCTGACAATTTGCCGTTTTACATGATTTGGGCTAATAACCAGATTCAGTGGTGGTTTCTCAGTTTAGCTATTCACAATTTCCTGAATTGGTGGAAGGCAAAGGAAAATGAATTATAATTATTTTTTCAGAGTCGTGAGCCATGGTACACAATTTTGGAATAAATTTGCTCCCTCGTTCACTTGTGAAGTAATTATCTTCCTGGTGTCAGTTAAAAACGCTGACTCGAGGTTGTTTTTTGTTTGTGTGTTTGTTTAAAAAAAGTGCCAGCGCTGTAACGATGACGCACAAGGAAATGACTTCATAATAGAGGTCATGCAATTATTTCAAGGCGATTGGGCAAGTGCTGAATCGGGGTCGAGGTCTTTTTATTCTATTGTTCAGTGTTTTGTACTAAGAGACTTTAAGATAATGAGAAGCGGTGATTTAACAATAGAGGTCAGTTATTTTAAGACTCAACTGTATATTGCTTCTAGTTTATTATCGCAATTTAAAGGTTCCCTTTCAACGCCAATGGAGTAATTATACCCTTAACGAAAATTCTTGGAGAGTGGTGGAATGAGGTTTGTAAAAAACGCATTCCACGGTCATGTGTTGAGGCGCCTTTAGGATACTTGACTATTTTGACTAGCTATTTTTCACGCAGAGCATTATATAGAGGATATTACACGGTGGCGCGAAGATATGAATTTTATTTTCGAGTGGCAAAACAATATTTTACGAACGAGCGTAGCGAGTGAGTAAAATATTGTTTCTGCCACGAGAAAATAAAAATCATATCTTCAAGCCGCAGTGTAATGTTCTTTTCATTATATAGACAAAAACACATTGATAAAATAATAGAGGGAAATTACCGAGATTGCGTCATTGATAAACTCACGTGTGAGATTATGGAAAATAAACCACTCGGGTCCCGGATGTAGTTTTTATGAATTTTACGAGTGGTATATATTTTCCAGTAAAACACTCGTGTCCTTATAATAAAAAGCTACATATCTGGAGATGCAGAAAATTTAATTTGCATAAGCATTCTCATTTTTCCACTTAGATACCGCAAAGTTCAGAAAATAAGCCCCGGGGCTTCTTTTTTTTTAAAGCGATTTTTGAGTGGCATAGTTTTAAAGGGGCTTATCTACGGAGGGAAATTTGCGTTTTAAAATCGATTGGGCTAGCCTTATAGTTGCAAGGAAATTTACCGTTTTTGCTTTGTTTTTCTTTGTATTTGAGGGCAATTTCCAAGTACAAGCCTCCGGGGGTTGGGGGGTGGGGGGGCTTATATTTGGAGGGGTGATTTTAGGGTGGGTTTTTTGCGTTACGAGTTTGAGGTGCTAATATTTGATGGGACTTATACATAGGGGGTATCTATTTTCGGAATTTTACCTAGATAATAATCGCGCGAAAGTCTGCTTCATGTCCGTACTATGTACTTTAGTGGACTGTCTTTTCTGATGTTTATCAGTGTGGCGCTTCATGGGAAAGTAATTGTACTTTAGTATGAACATCTTCCCTTGCGCCCTCGTCTAAAAACCCGGTCAGTATTCAGGGGCGGATTCCCCCCGGCTGAGATTACCTGCGGCTTTCAAATACAACTGGTGTTCTGCAAAAAGTAGTAAAACCTTTGTGGTTTATTGGAATTGAAGTAAAACTTGAGACGAGGTTGATATGATTGCATTGGTGATATGTATTCTCAAAGGTTCAAATTATGTGATTGCCTTGTCAAAAGCCTTCCTCGTATTCGCTTTTAAAATTTGTTTACGCCACCAGTCAGTTACGAAGGTTGTTTTTTGTTTGTGTGTTTGTTTAAAAAAGGTGCCAGCGCTGTAACGATGACGCACAAGGAAATGACTTCATAATAGAGGTCATG